ATTTGTTGTTGTATGATTATATTTTGTGAACTGAGAAATTCTATGAATTTGCTTGTAGCATGCTCAAAACACTTGAGAGGTACCAGAAGTGCAATTATGGAGCACCGGAGACTAATGTGTCCACAAGAGAAGCACTGGTAAATTTTACATTTTTTCCTCTTTTTAATTTATTTTTCGGACTCTGATATATACATATATACATACACAAATATACAAATGTAATGGGAAGATATAGATATGCTTTTATTCACCAAAAATGAATTTCTGTCCATAAATGTCACATATTTGACATTATTTTATTTGGTATTTCTTGTTTTTATAGAGTTGAAGGTTCAATACGTGTTGAGTTCACTAACTTCACATCTATTACTAAGAAGATGGAAGTTCAACTTTCCTTTTCTTTCCATCATTCCTTAATATTGAAATCCTATTAAGGGAAAATATTCAGTATGTGAAAACATACATTAAGAATATACTTGGTGATATAAAAATATACCATGTAGTTTTGTTCCACAAGAATATTTTCGATTCAAAAATTCAAGTTAAGAGATTCGTAAAGGAATCTGATTTTAAATTTGTTCGTCATTATAGCATACTAATTTCACAGTTTTCTTTTTCTTCATGTGGGATTTATTAATTAGAACAATAAATTACATAATAAGAGATTAAATTTTTGAATAAGGAAAGAGCAGCATTTACCTCTCCCTTTTAATATTCTAATATCAGATTGTCTTTAATATTAGTGTTTTTTAATTTTAGAAAATAGCATAGACTATTAGCTAATGTATGACTAATTTATATTGATGTTAGTATTGGCTTATCTTTCTATTATGAAAATGTTCAATTTGAACTCTAAAGATTGTTATTAAACTTATGTATCATTATTTAGCTTGAGATCAAGTCACTCATATAACACTTTCGAACCATAAATATGTATATTGAAGTCTCATATATTAGACACTATTCTATTTGGTATTCCTCGTCTCATTATAAAGTTGAGGGTTCAAAACGTCACTAATTTCACATTCATTACTAAAAAAAGAGAAGTTTAGCTTTTCCTTTTATTTCATTATTCCTTCAATGTTGAAGTTCTGTTAAGCGAAAACATTTAATATGTGATAATACATATTAAGAATATACTTTGTAATATAAAAATATACCATGTAGTTTTATTTTGCATGAATATTTTCAATTCAAACATTTATTTTAAATAAAATGTCACTCTAACTTCATGATTTCATTAAATTCAATGTCATTTTTTACAATTTCAATTATAAGTGTAAAGATCCCTAAAGGAATCCTAATATTTTAGGGGTCCAAGTTAATGTTTATTAAAAAAAAAAAAAGGGTCAAAGTTAATGTGATTTAAGTTTGTTCATCAATAGGGCATACTAGTTCCAACCTGTTATTTTTTCTTCATGTAAAGCTTATTAATTAGGTCAGGAAATTACATGGAGAGATCTAATTTTCTAATGAAAAGAGCAGCATTTATCTCTCCTTTTATAATCTTCTAAAGACATGCTAAAAAAATTTTATCCCAAATTTTTCTTTAATATTAGTGTTTCTTAATTTTAGAAAATAACATAGACTATTAGTTAGCATATGACTACTTTATATTAATGTTAGTATTAACATATCCTTCTATTATAAAAAATGTTCAATTTGATTTACAAAGATTGTTCTTAAACTTATGTAACATTAGTTAGTCTGGGATCGAGGTCTTCATGAAATATTTTTCTTCTGAGAGTTGCTTAGGAAAATAAACTAGTTATTCCAAAGCTTGGTTTATACATATATTGTGTCTTTGCTCTAAGACCAATAACATTTTGATTTATTTTTGCTCAAATTCTAATTTTATAAAATATAATTAAGAGTATTATACAAATGAATAAAAATTGAATAAGAATAATGTTGTAAATCTAAATTAATTCAACATTCAATTTAATATAATGTTTTTGTGTAATAACTGAATATAAATTCATTTTATTGAACTAATTATATAATGGACTTAAAGCAGTTATACTTTAAATATGTAGTGTATTAATCCTAAAAAATAACTAAAATGTAGTAGTATGATGAAAATAGAATAATTTAGAACAAATATAGCATATATATGTCGTTGGAAATAACATCAACATTTATAACTTGATTTCTCTAGTATTTAAATAACAGTGCTGACAATTATTTTATTAAGAAAATTATGTTGTCCATGAGTTTTATACATAAGGAAAAAGTTCCACCTTTAAATCAAATACCACAATCGCATTTAGGAGCTAAAGGGAGGTAATCAAGAAAGAGTTTGGCTTAGTTTAATTAGAAGAATCTGTTCTTTTAATAGTTTAAAATTCTAGTATTTAATGTGATTAACTGTTTGGTTAAAGATATACTTACTAATTCCTACCTAATTTAGTAAAAGTATCTTAAAGGTTGCATATTCATGCTGGAAGAATCAATGACAGAGAAAGGGATCCATATAAGTTAATGGAGGCCAGGTGCATGACTCATTTCATGAGAGAATTTGATTCAAATTTTGGTATAGATGGAGTTTTTTAAGAATTAGTATATACAAATGTGAATATTACATAAGAATTAGTATATACAAATATGAATATCATATAATCTTTATTTCTCTGTCTTTTTTAATTGAAAAAGAAATATTATTAATGTGTGTCTCTCTATTTAATTGAAGAAGAAATGTCGCCAATAAAAAGATAAAAGAATAAAAATACAGGATTAATTATTCTCTCAAATAGTAAAAATAAAATAATAACAATAGTCAATTGTTCTTAAGAAAGTTAGCTAATTAATCTCTGTGCAAAATCTTCAAAATTACCATAAGTACTTAGCATAGAGATGCGGAGAAAGGCATCTCTATCTCCCTTAAAACATTAGTCCTCATATATTTTAATCTCACAAAGTAGTTATATTTTTTTTACTAAGAGTAAAATACATTTTACATACTACAAGTTAAGAAAAAACCTAACATATTTTCGTAAAGTTAAATGTTCAGTTCTTATGTCTTTAAATTTTAATTTACTACTTCGCATAAAACTTTGCCCTTTGAATTAGACTATTTTACTCTAAATCAATGAGATTCTTTCATTCTTCCTTGTGTTACATGAAAAATAATATTTACTAGTATTTAATCTAGTGAAATCATAACAGAATATAACAAAATATTTTTTAATTAGTAAACTAAAATGATCATTTTAACTAGTGATATTTTAAGTAAACAAAATGATTGGTTCATTTTTATAGATCTATAGTAGTTGTTTGCTCAATTTACTAAAGTTTGGTTCCTCATTTATGTAGGATAAGATGTATGGGGCTTACTTAGAAATTGAGATATTTTTTTTCTATAACTCATTCATTTGTAAATTTTGAAATTATCTTCTTAAGATCTGCAACTTCGCAACAATCACCTTTGTGGGTTTTTGGAACTCTTCTTGCGATATATCTTATGCTTCTTTTGATTTAACTGCATCAGTTATTAAGAAACATTAACTATTTACAAAATTCTATTATATGACAAATTGGGGCTTCGACATTTTTTATTTGATCTTTCGCAGATTTCTTCGTTTCCACTGGTGTTAACTGTTGCCCAATAACAATTTAAGAATAACTATTCTCAATGTATTTTACAATCCTTACTATAGTTACAATGTTTGCATCTTGATCTCCCACACATCATACTTTTCTTCCAAAAAATACATGAACCATCAGTTGCATCATACTTGCACCAACACTTGAAGTTATTAATTTAGAGTGTTTTTTCAAATTTCACGAATATAAATTCACTACTCCACTTACGCCTGCATCGAACCAGATTATATATTAGTTGTTGGGATTAAAATAAATATTAAAAGTTATTGTTAATGCAAATTATTTAATTAGAGGGATATATTGAGACTTTTCAACAAAGAATATCAAACTTCTATTTAATTAAACTGGGATGCAAGTATACACAATACATAACCTATATATAGGCAGTTATAACAATCTATTAATCTTCCTCTTTTTAATCACCCATTTATTTCATTTAATTGCTATTTAATTTATTATTATTTTATTTTAATTTTTTCATAATAGTTTATTTATAATTTTCACTTATAACTATACATTTATAATTTCCTCTCAGAACCGCCAATTTATAATTTTTTATAAAAAAATAATTAATTCTAACAATGGAGGGCAAGAGCTTCGGGCTTAGTGGCTGCAACAAGTTAATTTGTTTCCCAGATAATATTCTGAAGTATGTGTCCTGGTGATGGACCTGTAAAGAGAGGAAGAGAGCTATGTCAATGTGTACCAAAAGTGAAAACTAACTCTGTAATTGGGGGTTTTGGTTGTGTCAAGGTTCTGAAAGCTACATTATCATCAACTTGTAAAGGCCAAAAGACCAGTATTAGTAATTACTCGAGGTTACATTGACCTATATATAATAGTTCTCTGTTTCATTTTCTTCTAGCTTTGCATGTTGGTGATCTAGCTATGACTCTCCATCTTAATTAATTGAAGATTATTCACTTTCTTGGTTTTGATGGTTTACATGTTTCTTACTTGTACCAGGAGCTAAGTAGTCAGCAGGAATACTTGAAGCTGAAAGCACGTTATGAAGCCCTACAAAGATCCCAAAAGTGAGTTGCCGAAATTTAGCCACAGTTTTGGATGGAGAATTTTTATTACATATGCTAAACCTTTTGTTTTTTTTTTTTTTGAAATGGTATACATGCTAAACTTGAATTTTTGATAGATTAATCTTTGATATTATATCCTGGAATCTAATTTCACGTCAGGAATCTTCTTGGGGAAGATCTTGGTCCTTTAAGCAGCAAGGAGCTTGAGTCACTAGAAAGGCAGCTCGATATGTCACTGAAACAAATAAGATCGACGCGGGTATTTGGCTTCATCTCTCTAATGACTTTGTAAATATGTATATATTTACATCTATATATATTCACCTTCTTGATTCAGGAACAGAAGGAAACTACCAATTCACTGTCATTTTCATTTTCCCTTTTCACAGACCCAGTACATGCTGGATCAGCTCACTGACCTCCAACGTAGAGTACGATGTTGTCTCTTTGCCGGGTCCTTATTTCTTGTCTAATTTTTTCCATCACTCATCGGTTTATTTCTTTCTAACTTTATATACAGGAACACATGCTCAATGAAGCTAATAAAACGTTGAAACAAAGGGTAGGTTTATCAAGAGATAAAGCCAACAACATTCAGTTGCTTTGTTAATAATACATTTAACAACAGAAGAAATGCCAAACGTTTACAAAGTTTTACAAAATTCTCGAACAAACTGATGTGGTTTATAGAAAAAAAACTATATTTTAGCTGTCCACCTGCCACACCAGTTTGTAAGTGATCTTTTTGTAAAGTTCTTTGTACGTGTAGCATTACTTTAGTAACATGCCTTTGAAAAACCTATAAGCTATTCTCTGTATTGGTTTTTGGTTTGTAGTTAGTGGAGGGTTACCAAGTTAGTTCACTCCAACTGAATCCAAATGCAGAAGATGTTGGGTATGGCAGACAAGCAGCTCCAGTACCTCAGCCTGATCCTTTCTTTCATCCCTTAGACTGTGAGCCTACATTACAAATCGGGTATGACTTGCGAATTCTATGACATACCATATCTGCTCTAATAGTCTCTCCTTTGTGGCAATTATCTAATAATGCTATAGCCAAGCTTTAGAAGCAAATTTTAACACCGGAGGTATATTGTCAACTGTTTTAAGTCCATTGTTTCAGAACAGGTGTTTCAGATTTGCAGTCGGTTTAATTATTATTTCATTCTTACTCAATTTATATATTTAATCTTAGTGATATTAGTTTGAAATGTCCACGTAGAATTTTTTTTTTTTTGAGATAACATGTCCACATAGAACATGATGCGGATGTTTAACCTCAAATCTGCTTTACTAAATCTTTTGGAGATGGTATTGTTGACAACAATCTATGATTTTTTAAAGAGATAAAATAGATAATTTTACTTAAACCTATTTCGCAATAGGTTAAGAATTTTTTATGGAATTAGAAATGTAAGGTTCTAATTTCATTATAAATTTTTTATAAATTCAATTTTTATTATTTTTTAATGAAATGTTTATTATCTTAATTAAAGTAAGTATAAATTTTCAAATAAATTTCATATATATATATATATATATGTATATGTTTACCATAGAACATTCATAAGAGTGAATATCAGAAGAAAAAAAGGGTCGTGCTAAAAATTGTAGGAAAGTTCTTGAGATTTATCTAACGATGGCATGGATTTTGTGGAGTTGCAGATATCAACCAGATCCAATATCAGTGGTGACTGCAGGGCCAAGTGTGAATAATTACATGCCAGGTTGGTTGCCATGATAATAACAATTATCAGCCATGGTATGCGATATTTCCTTTTTAAGAGAAATATCAGAAAATTTTATATCTTTGTACGTTAGTATTAATTAATATTTAACAGCGAGAAAAAGAAAAACAATGTATGTAATGCTCTCAATTACCTCATGACTCTGCATCGTAAGTATCTTGGAGACAGTATAAGTAATTTGTTTGTGTGTCTGCGTGCTCAAGCACCGCCCCTCTTCTTATTAGTAGTTGCCAGCTCTCTTCACAAATAATTGTTTCTTTTTTGCATATAGAATCCTGAAACTCACGGGTGAATAACAAATCAAGACTACTACTTAACCAATGACTTAATATAAAATGTATTTAGTTCTACAAGCCGCATAAAAAATATTTTTGACCTCATTATTTTTTAATTTATTTGTCTATGTTTTTTCATGTCCCCGCACAAGTTCTGATATATTTCATATGTTTTTATTAAAATATTATGTTATTATTTATTACATTATAATTAGAGTAAATATACTATTTTATAAACAAAATAAAATATTGTAATAGATTTAGTATTTTAGAGTGTTAACTTCTCTCAAGTTTATAAAATCACTAACCTTAACTATAAGTTTAAAAAAATTTCAGATGCCTACTTAGCTAACAATATGTTCCTCATCATGGAAATAGTTGTTTGAGTAGCTAGGGACTCCATGATCATGACGGAAAGGATGTGCTGGGAAAAAGACATCTGTAATCGTTATAAAATGTAAAAAGTTGACATTTACATATTTAATTTTGATGTTTAATTTAATTCACACTATAATGAACTCATAAGTATAAAAATAATTTTGATAGAATAACAATATCCCAAAAAGTTCAACTGTGTAAAGAAAAATAGACACGTTATACTTTTGTGATTTCCAAATCTAAATGGAAGCCTATCATTGCTAATACAAACTTTTTGTTTAGAAAATAGAGCAACAAGAACCTTTTTCCAGAATACACTCACACACCACCCTCCCAATGGTTGGATTTAATTTGTAGTAAACTTATATAATAGTAAGGATCTAATTGCAAAAAATGTATTTTTATTTTTGTCTTCTTTTATTTTTAAAGGAATTATTAAATTAATGTTCAAAATTTGATATTTTCTTAAGGAAATATTCATCAACGTAAATCACAGACCAACAACTAATCTTCCACTCTTTCTTTAGGCTATCAAAGCATATGTAGAAATTTTTAAAATCAATATTTCCTTCCATGTGAGTACTAAACGCATGTTACTCAACATTAACACTTCCGCATAATCGTATTGCTGAATATGTTGAGACTTACGTTGACCATATGACAAAGACAAATAGATTGGTTCAACATGATCTTTTGGTTAATTAAAGTTTTTTCTCTCGTCTGAAATGTTGAAGAGCAAATCAATATCAAATTTTTAAATAGAAAGATTGTAATTTCACTTTTTTATGAGGCTTTATTTGTAGGTGACTCTGGGTGAATAAAAAGAACAAAATTTAATATTAAGACAACAACTTCTCTAAAGGGCAAATCTTTAAAAAATTTAAAGTTGGTATTCCTAGACTTTAAAAAAAAAGGACAAATTCTATACTAAGATCTCTTACCATTTTTGGAATGAATCACAGTAGAACATAAAGTAAAAACTTAAGGATGACAAAAAGTTAGCAATTCAATAAACTTGAATCAACCACTCATTATCTGTCCAACTCAGATTATGTTGATTAATTTTGAATTAACTCTAAGTCAAATTTGGATTTAGAATATAAAAAAAGTTCGTGAAAACATTACTATGTTAATTTTGTGTATATGTGTAATATATATGCTTAAATTTTAATGAAAAAGACATGTAATATAGTTTTAAATTTTAGTGTATTTATTAATTGTAAAGGCCCAAAATTTAATTGAATAATAATATTGAATTAATAAAATATTAGTGGAAATAATTAAGAATTTAGGGTTTACATTCCTTGCACAGTTTAATTAAAATATCTAATAAGATTACGAGAATGTTCTTTGAAAAAAATTAAAATAACAAAAGGAAAAGTATAACTATAGACCTATGGGATTGACCTCTGTTGTGTAACTCTGATAAAAAATGAGAGACAACCTTCAATTACAACTTTTCTGCTGCTCAAGATCTGAATCTTGATCATCTTGATAAAAAATGGCTAATAAAGGAAGATGAACTACACTAACACAGTAAAAATATCAATACTTTACAACCAATACGAAAAATCAAAAGTTGGCAAAAATTGCAAATAACCAACTAAACTATTTTCTTTCTTAGGTAAATTCATTTAATTTAAAAAATGTTACTTTCATACTCACCTTTTAAGTCTTCATATGCTACTTATGAAGGAAGAAACAATATAGCAATACATTGAACTCTCTAAGATGCCAACAATAAACAAGCTTTATCTTTTTACTTTCTTATCGGTGCCGCTAGGGGTCCATAGGGGCCTCTACTACACGTGGACCCAATATTCAATTTATTAATCAACTGGCGGTCCCTATACTCCATCCGGTAATAGGCACCAAAAGTACTACCGCCTCAATACCACGTTCGGTATAAGTGTGAACAAACACTTCCAACCCTTCTGGTATGGTACTTCTTAGCCATGTTCGACTGAGGATACTGTTCACGACAGGGTTTACTCTATGTACCGGGTCCGTACACCCTTTTCCATGACACTCGGTAAACCTTTTAGTTTTATATATTAATCTAACACATGCATGTCCAATTCATCAACTAGCCGCCAATTACATACAACAATCTCGTTTCGTAATTACAGAAAAATAAAACAATAAATAAGTAGACAATATAATTTAATTACTTAATAATTAAAGAGAGCGCAGTTAGGACATTCATTTCAAACCAATAAATTGATAGGAGTAAAACGGTTAAATAAATCAATAAACGAGAAGACAATTAAACCTATGAATTAAAGTACTTGCAGTAAGCAAACAATAACAGGACAACAATAAATGAATAGTACAGATAAAATAAGCAATTATATACTGACGGACTACCGGCTCTATTGATGACCTGAATTTAATTAGTTAGGGGTTACCGATATTCACAAATTCCATCGTTTGTTATTTATTAAACTTTACTTAACCGTAACAGGGGAAAAGATGAAGGATTCTTACTCAAGCTCGGTGTTCGAAACAACGCTTTTTTTCACTACACTTCCCAAAAATTCTCAATTTTTTTAGATTTTTCTACGAAAAGCAAAAACACGCATCACACATCTTGAAAATACTCAAAACGACGACCAAAAAGGGGTTTTAAAATTTTTCAAATCGGTTTAGGGTTCCGGCACAACGGCGCTGCCGTGTTCCGATGCTGGCTCTGCCGCTTACGGTGGTGCCTCCTCTCAGTCTAGCCGATTTTGGCTGGTCTTGTGCGAAAATCTATAAAACTCAAGGTCATGTGGCCTCTGTTGGCGGAAAAAAGAAAAAAAATCAAAACTTACCGATGGGTGGATTTTCTAGTGTGGCGGTTTTGCCATTCTTTCCTCGTGGTCAGGGGTTTTTTTGGTCGTCTTGCACTAGAAAAAAGTCAGAAATCTAATGGTCAAAAAATGGAAGGAAACAAGAAAGGGATTCGCGCTCACTGGAGGGGTTTTGGATCACTACAGGGCTCTGCCCTCGGTTTCTAGCTTCTTCTTTTGTTTTTTATCACCGACATGGGTTTGGGTGGCTTAGAATCGAATTGCGAATTGAAAGGGAAGAAAAAACTCACCTTCTTGCATCGATGAAGGTTCCGGTGCGGTAGTGACAATGGCTGACTTTTTCTCTGGCCACTCTTCTTCTTCTTTCCGGCGAGATAGTTATGGCTAAGGTTAGGGTTTCTGTGGAAAATGAGTTTAAATACTCCTCTTCATTTAATCTGGGTCGTCTGTTCGAGGAGGCGTGGCCGGATCTCAGCCATTGGATCCATCTTATCTGTAGAATGAATCTGGATTGCAAGATCGGATGAAATCAAGACCATTCGATCGCACTTGAGAGAGAGACAAATCTGGACCGTTCATACACGGGGGGTGGATCTTGTAACGCCCAATAATTTTTTAAATTATTTATTATTATTATTATTATTATTAATTTTATTGTTATTTATTTTATTTTATTTTTATTAAATTAAATTAAAATAAACCTAATAAAATAAAATAAATATAAAATTTGGGTAAAAATATTATTTGGATTTAATTGAAATTGATTTTAGGAAAAAGGAGTGAAAATTAGGATTATGGGGGTATTTTTGAAAAGAAAATCAGAAACTGGGGGTCAAAACGCAATTTAAAAAAATTGTGCCCCGTCAGCGCCACGTCAGCAGCCACATCAGGAGCCTAGTCAGCAGCCCTGGCCAACAAGGACCTGCCGCGTGGCAAGACCACGTCGACCCGGGAACGGGTCACGTGGGCAATCCGCGTGCGCGTGATCAGACGGCCCAGATGCACGCGCACGGACGACCTAGATTTAATCGCGCACGGACGGCCCAGATTTAATCAAAATGGACAGCTGTGATCAAAAGGCAAAAGGGTATAAATAGAACCCTCACACCTGACCACAAAAACCCTAGCCGCCTGCCCTCGCCGGAGAAGA